ACAAGTGTATGGAAGATCAATTTCTCTCTCTCTCTCTCTCATCACCCTGCCTTTGAAATAAATAAAAATAAAATTTTAATAGTGGTCTTAATATGTTGGGAGGATAGGCCATGTTTCAATAGGATGAAATAATATATGGGTAAAATCACATTTAGAATTCTAAATTTACAACTAAATATACCTAGCCTAAGAACTAGAGCAGCTGAAGGAAAAGCCAGGGAAAAGGAAAGCACCTTGCTGCATCCTGCCCATGAAGTGGGCCAGGACAGAGAAGCAGCAACCTATGTGAGCAACAAAATGGCTGCTGTATCATTTCTGCCCGCTACATCTCTTATTGGAATTATCTTGTCACAAATATACAGGGAAGGGAATCCTGGGAAATGCAGTTCAGTATAGCCAAGTTGACACTTTACAAAGCCACCACAAATATGTATTACTGTGATTTTTTTTTTTTTTTTGTCTTTTGAGGTGGCAGGTATCAGATTCCGATTAAAATTATCTAAGGAAAAAATAATTTGCAAGGTACAGGATTGGCTCAACCCTGAGAAAGAATGCAGCCAGGCCTCTGGAGGACCTGGACTCAGGTGTGGCACATCATCCTGATGCCATCATTGTCTCTTGGCATAGCTGCTTCGTTCTCTGCCTTTTGATCCACATGACAAGTGGAAGATGGCCAGCCTACAAGGTCCAAAGCCTGTATCTGAGGAAACTGGGTGAGACATCTGAAAAGACTAAGCCAATCTTTCTTTATCCTCTTTGCTATTTCAATTCTTACATAGGTTAAAAGGACTCTGATACGGCTTAGAGTTCATGCTTTTTCCTGGTCTGTTCAGAACAGAGGCATACTATACAATGTGCAAGGGAAACAGACAATTAAGGAGCGTTCACTCACGGAGGTCCTGGAATTTGTTCATGAGCCAAATTCGTTCTAAAATGTCTCAGCAAACTGTGATACCACAGGACATGCTCAGAGTTACCTATGGTTCTGAGTATGCAGTGTGTCTTTGTTTTCCCTGTTTCTTGGAATTTATATAAGAACTATATGAGGTTGCTAATAATCTATTGGAATAGTTTAATATGGATTGATAAAGAGAAGGGTGTTCTGAATACCATTAATGGATAACAGTGTTAGCATAAAATGCTAATATAACAGCTCATGTATATCATCACATAACTTACAAAAAAGAAGAGATACCATTTCATCTTCTTTACATAGCATTATGACTTTTGATATAGACTCTCTGTAACAGGAAATGTGTGAGTGTATGTAAGCACAGATGGGGGTATATGCACAAACATATCTCACTGTTTTATTTCACTTCAAATCAGTGTATTCACATGAACTATATGAGAATATACATATAACAAACTTTGTGAAGGAAAATGGAGCTTATAGGATTAATAGTAATTTAAAAAATTAAGCGGGGTGGACATTGTAGCACAGTGGGTTAAACTTACCACTTGGGGTGCCTGAATCCCATATTGGAGTGTCTGGTTTGAGTCCTGGCTCATCCACTTCCAGTCTAGTTTCCTGCTCATGTGTACCCTGGGAACCAGCAATAGTGGTCCAAGTACTTGGGATCCTGCCACTCAGGAAGTTACTTAATTCTTTTTTAAAAATATTTATTTATTTGGAAGGCAGAGTTAGATTTTCTATCTGCTAGTTCACTCCCCAGATGGCTGCAAGCCAGGAGCCCCAAGCCTTTTCTCACATGGTTGCAGGGGCCCAAGCACTTGGGCCATCTTTTGTCTTTCCAGGCACATTTGCAGGGGGCGGAATCGGAAGTGGAGCAGCTGGGATTCAAACCTGTGCCCATATGGGATGCCAGTGCCATAGGTGGCAGCTTTTTCCATTAAGCCACAGCACCGGCCCTAATTCTTTTTATCCAATTTGTGATAAACATGAATGTCTGATATCACTAAACAAAAATATAAGTGCCTAGAAGATGAAGGACCAAAGGGCAAGAACCAGTGAAATATGACCATCGTTTTCTGGGGACTTCTCTGCCTGGTTTGGTGTTTGGTATTCAAACTATGAAAAGCTCCTGGAACTTTAACAAAAAGAATCTGGACTTAGGGTCTGATGATGGCCAACTTGCTGGTTCATAGATGGCAACTTCTAGCTGTGTCCTCACTTGGCTCCTGGGGCCAGTTTTATCTGGGCACTAAGGACCTCCCAAAGGCGCCCACTTCCTAATACTACCAATCTGGGGCTTTAGATTACAAAATAGGAATTTCTGAGGGACATAAATATTCAGGCCATAGCACCCAGCTTACTCAATTATTCGATAATTTATTTATCCAATTTATGATTTCAAAACAAAGTTGCTGACAATTCTAATTATCTTACTTAAAACACACAGTTCGCCCACTCTTGAAATCTTTCTTCCCTTCTGCTTTTCCTTATTTGTTATAGTATCTTCAATTTACACAGAACTTAAATTATCAGCAGACATTAATTTTGAACCATATTTTAAAAATTGAGCTTGTGGATAGAAGTAAATATGTAAGGCCACTTGAATTCATATTGCTACTTTCCAAGCACAACAATAGAACGCACTGTTTTACTGTATTTTTTTTAAAGATTTCTTTAAATTTTATTTATTTGAAAGAATTACAGAGAGAGGTAGAGACAGAGAGAGAGAGAGAGAGAGAGAGAAAGAGGTCTTCCATCCACTGGCTCACTCCCCAAATGGCCACAATGGCTGGAGCTGAGCCTATCTGAAGCCAGGAGCCAGGAGATTGTTCTGGGTCTCCCATTGTTCTTGGGCCATCTTCTACTGCTTTCCCCAGGCCATAACAGAGATTTGGATGTGGAGCAGCCATGACTTGAACTGGGGCCCATATGGGATGCCGTTGCTGCAAGCCAGGGATTTAATCAGCTGCGCCACAGTGCCGGCCCCTCGTATTTCCTTCTTATTCAAACACCAGACACCAATTTTATGGTCTATAAAGATTGAAACACACTTGAATGAGAATGGATGCATCCATTAGTTCTTCTCTGATGATCTTTGGTTCCTTTGGTGTCAAAAGTTGCAATGCTAGGGCAAGACATTTGATGCAGCTATTAAGATACTTGTTGAGATCCCCTATCTGGGTACCTGAGTTTGAGTCTTGCTTCCTATTCCAGCTTCCTGCTAATATGCACACTGGGAGGCATCAAATTATGGCTCAAGTAGTTGGATGCCTGCAACCCATGTGAGAGACCTGGGATTGAGGTCCCAGTTCCTAACATCTGGCTTTGGTATGGCCTAACCCTAGGTGGTGTGGGCACTGGGGGACTGAATGAGTAGACGGAAGATGTCTGTCTGCCTCTCTTCCTTTCTAATAAATTAATTTAAAATAAAGAAATGCTTCTGTTAGTCACAACAATTTGGGATTAGATCTGGGCTAGTTTGCATTGGGTAGGGGTGCTCAGATGTGGTTTAAGAAAGCAAGGATACAGATAAAAAATGACTGGTTTAAAATATGACTGGTTTAGATCTGTAATTGATGCACAGTTATTCTTAAGTGTTGAAAATTAACTGAAATGTGATCCCTGTTGAACATGGTGGTGGGAATGGGAGAGGGAAGAGATGTATAATTTAGGACATGCTCAGGCTGACTTGCCCCAAGTGGTGGAGTTGGAAGCATACCAGGGGATTCCAATTCAATCCCATCGAGGTGGCATGTACCAGTGCCATCTCACTGTTCCAGGTGATCAATTTCAGTTCACAGTTGGTCATGGTGAAGGGACTGGGAGTCAAAGGGAGCACTTAGACAAGTCTAGTACCTGCTAACGCTAACTAATGGAGTAAATAAAGGGGAGAGTAATCCAACATGGGAAGTGAGATACTCAGCAGACTCATAGAATGGCAGATGTCCTAAATAGCACTCTGGCCTCAGAATCAGCCCTAAAGGCATTCGGAGCTGGCTGAAGAGCTCATGAGAGTATTTCAGGCATGGAAAGCCAAGACACTCTGGCAAAAGATCTCTGCGAGTGAGATCCCAGTGGAAAGAACAGGTCATCAAAGAAGGAGGTACCTTTCTCTGAAGGGAGGAGAGAACCTCCAGTTTGACTATGACCTTGTCTAAACAAGATAAGAGTCGGAGAACTCAGAGGGCTTCCATAGCCTTGGAAACTCATGACTAGAGCATAGGGAGATTACTGATGCCATAGACAGGAGTGTCAATTGGTAAAGTCAACAACAGGAGTCACTGTGCACTTACTCCTCATGTAGGATCTCTATCCTTAATGTGCTATACATCGAGATTTAATGCTATAACGAGTACTCAAACAATATATTTCACTTTGTGTTTCTATGGGGGTGCAAACTGTTGAAATCCTTGCTTAATGCATACTAAACTGATCCTCTGTTAAAAAAAAAAAAAATTATCAATTCCCAACTTGACTCTCACTGGGATTAAACATGACAATAGGTCTGCTCTGATTTCATCATCATTTAAAAAAATCACCTATTATTTTTCACTTTATGTTTCTGTGTGGGAGCAAACTGTTGAAATCCATACTTAATGTATACTAAGCTGATCTTCTGTATATTAAGATAATCGAGAATGAATCTTGATGTGAATGGAAGGGGAGAGGGAGTGGGAAAGGGGAGGGTTGTGGGTGGGAGGGACGGTATGGGGGGGAAGCCATTGTAATCCATAAGTCGTACTTTGGAAAATTATATGCATTAAATAAAAGTTTAAAAAAAAAAAAGAAAGCAAGGATACAGACTTGTCTCATTTGGAAGGGAAGTTTGTGAGAGTAAAAAGAGCTGAGTTTTGGGTGGCAGCAGTTTTGGGGCTAGCTCTCTTGGCTTCTTTTCTCCATCTGATTGAATGCAAAGACAGAAATACCATTGATGCTTATTCAGTAGCCAAGATAGGGGCATCTGGCATCTGCATAAGAGAAGTATTTGTCAGAAAGGGACCTTCCTCACTCCCCACTCCTTATTTCATGCCATGAGCATTGTGGCATTGGATGTTATCTTTTTTTTTTTTTTTTTTTAAAACAGATCCTGTTCCTTTTCTAGTTTTCAAACTGCCCAGACTGAATTTCACATAGAAACATGAAGAGACAGGAGTTTGACTTTCAAAGAAGTTAATACTATATAATGTGAGTAATTTCTAGGATCAGAAATTGAATGTAAAATTGCAATTATTTATACACATAAACGTTTATGGCTTTGTATATTTGGAGTGGATTCTCTGTGATCTTGCCAACTACTTCCATAGCCACATGCCTGAATTTTAAAAAAAGTTACCTAGGTAGCAACTTTGCTGATGGCCTTATTTCCTGGCTAAATTAATCAAATAATTTTCCTAGAGTTTTTTGAAGCATATTTATATGAACAAAAACTAAAAATATTGCAATTTGGCAGTATCTATTAGAATATTTATATATATACATATTTACTGGTATATGAGTATATTTATGTTTTGATCTAACAATTCCTCTATCAAGGGTTTAGTTTACTGAAATGTTTTGAGAAGTATGTAATAGTAATAATTGGTAAAATATTGGTTAAGTAAAGGCATAAACATAGAACGGAACACTCTATAGCTGTTTAAGCAACTGAGTGGAGCTATAACTATAATAACTGAAAAAATGCAAGTTGCAAGAGTGTAGAATGCCATAATGTTGTCTTAAGCATCTACATATTTGTATAGGTAACACACATGTATTTTTGTATATCTATTTAAAAAAACTAAGTAAAAACAATTGTATCCTCTGGGGAGGTAGGTTTATGGAACACATTTTTTTCCCCTATTGTATATTTCAAAAATGCTTCCATTTTAAATAATTACCATGTGCTCCCTTTGAAATAAGAACCATAATTAAAAGATATCTTATTCCTTCCCTCTTGGCAAGTCATGAGGCTCAGATGAGGGGAGTTCTGGGTCTGAAAACCTGAGGGATCTGATGAATTAGGCCTTAGGCATGCCTGCTCAGACTGATGTTTCATCTAAGTCTTATCCTGACCAAACCATCAAGCCTAATTAAAAATGGAAAATTCATGGAAGGAGAGGCCTCCCTGCATGCCCCAGGGGACCCATTCTGCCCTGGCTCCCTCTGGATCCTTCCAGTTCATTAGCTAAGAAGGAATGGGGGGCGTTGGCTCCAGCCACAGCTGCTGCCTTCTCAAGTGTCACTCTGATCTGGTCAGCAAAACCCCCGGTGGAAGGCAGCAGGCTCTGAGCCATTGCCAGCCCAGCCCACTGGCTGCCTCTGAAGCAGGCCTGCTGGCTCGGCCCACCCTTGCTGGCTCTTCCCCTCCCTCTCTGTGGAAGGCATTGTATTTGTGTGTAATCATCAGGAAACCGGGAATTGAGAGCTTTATTCTTCAGGGTGGGAGGCGCTCAGACCTTGTGCCTTACTAGAGATAATCTCAGACCTGAGATCTTAGAGATGACCAGACCAATGGCCTTGTTTGGGTCAGAAACATCATGTTCTTCCTGGCAGCTGGACCCTACGTCACTGGCATGTTTGTGTTATAAAAGAGGACTGCTCTTTGATGCTCTTTCCTGATAACCCAAGGCTCCCATTTTGGGGATGCTTTCATACTCGCCACAACCCATGAGAAACCCACCGAAGGACACAAGACTGAGAACAAGGATCTGATTAATTTGAAGGTAGTAGAGCAGATTGAGTCACACAGCAATTAATTACAAAATGGATTAGGTTCTGGTTTGGTGTCAGCTCATATGATAATGAAATCAGAAGAGGGAGATTCAAGGGATTTAGCAGAAGGCAAAATTCCACTCAAAAGTTCTGTCTTGGGGCTGGCATTGTGGTGTATCAGGTAAAGCCACCACCTGCAGAGCTGGCATCTCATGTGGGCGCCGGTTCATGTCCACTTCCCATCCAGCTCCCTGCTGATGGCCTGGGAGAGCACTGAAAGAAGATCCAAGTGTTTGGGCCCCTGCACCCCCATGGGAGACTCTGAAGAAACTTCTTGCTCCTGGCTTTGGATCTGCCTATCTCCAGCCATTGCAGCCATTTGGGAAATGAATCAGTGGATGGAAGATTATCTCTGTCTCTGTCTCTCCCTCTCTCTGTAACTCTGCCTCTCAAATTTTTAAAGAAGATTATTTATTTGAAAGGCAGGGATGGAGTGGAGAGAGAGAGGGAGAGATTGATTTTCCATCCGCTGGTTCATTCCCCAAATGGCTGCAAGAGCCAGGGCTAGGCAAGGCTGAAGCCAGGAGCCAGGAGCTTCTTTTGGGTGTCTCACCTATGTGTAGGGGCCCAAGCACTTGGGCCATCCTCTGCTGCTTCCTCAGGCACATTAGCAGAGAGCTGGATTGGAAGTGGAGCAGCCCAGACTTGAACCAGTGTCCATATGGGATGCCAGTATCATAGGTGGCTGCTTGCCTCCTGTGCTATAGAACCAGCCACAAGTCATAGATCTTTTTTTAAATTATTATTATTTTATTTATTTATTTTTTGTTCATCAACAGGTAAAGAGATAAATTGTAGATATTCTTTCTTTTTTGTCCACATAGGCTCTTTTTTATTTTATTTTTTTAAAAGATTTATTTATTTATTTTAAAGTCAGAATTACACAGAGAAAGGAGAGGCAGAGAGATCTTCTCTCTGCTGTTTTACTCTCCAATTGGCCGCAACGGCTGAAGCTGTGCCAATCAGAAGCCAGGAGCATGGAGCTTCTTCCAGGTGCCCCACACGGGTGCAGGGGCCCAAGGACTTGGACCATCTTTTGCTGCTTTCCCAGGCCATAGCAGAGAACTGGATTGGAAGTGGAGCAGCTGGGACTTGAACTGGCGCCGTTATGGGAAGCCGGCACTATAGGCGGAGGCCTTACCCTGCTATGCCACAGCACTGGCCCGGACATAGGCTCTTAATCTACAATATCACTGTATCCTTTCTGGGTCATGTATACCATGTGCAATGCTCTCATATTATTATTATTATTTTTTTTTTTTTTGACAGGCAGAGTGGACAGTGAGAGAGAGAGACAGAGAGAAAGGTCTTCCTTTGCCGTTGGTTCACCCTCCAATGGCCGCCCCAGCTGGCGCACCGCGCTGATCTGATGGCAGGAGCCAGGAGCCAGGTGCTTTTCCTGGTCTCCCATGGGGTGCAGGGCCCAAGCACCTGGGCCATCCTCCACTGCACTCCCTGGCCACAGCAGTGAGCTGGCCTGGAAGAGGGGCAACCGGGACAGAATCCAGCGCCCCAACTGGGACTAGAACCCAGTGTGCCGGCGCCACTAGGCGGAGGATTAGCCTAGTGAGCCGCGGCGCCGGCCTGTGGGGAGCAGCTCGGACTAGACTGTTACTGGAATTAAGACTTATTCTATGCATCTGCTCTCCCACAATATGGCGCTGGGAGAGAAGTAAACAGCTTCCGCACAGCTGCCTCCAGTTCAACCAATTAACTGTAGGACTTGCTCCTGATTGGAGGAGAGCAGCGTACTCGGCGTGTGGGCAGCCGAGTTGGGATTGGCGGAGGAGGACTATAAAGGAGGAGAGAGACGGCATGCACCAGGAACATCTATGGGGAACATCTAGCTGAAGGAACACCCGTGCAGCCCCCGAGAGAGCCGGCCGGCGGTGTGCCGCTCCCCTGCGGAAGTGGGGAATGCGGCCAGGGGGAACTGCCCTTCCACAGAGGTGGAAGGGATAGTAGCCAACCCGGGAAGAACCAGCAGCAAACCCGGGGAGGGCCGAGCAGACAGAAAGAACAGTGCAGGGTCCTGTGTTGCTCCTCCACGAAGAGGGGGAGCGACACCGGCCCTCTCATATTAATTTTTAAAAACTGTTATCCTGAAAAAATTTTAGACTTAGAGAAGTTACAAAGATAATATAGAGTTCCCATATACCTGTCACCTGACTTCCCCTCTAGTGTTAACATTTTTTTCCCTGAAGAAACCTTTTATTTAATGAATACAAATTTTATAAGTACAACTTTGGGAATATAGTTATCGTTCCCACCATACCTGCTCTCCCACCCACACTCCCACCCTTCCTCTTCCTCCTTCTCCCCTTCCCAGTCTCATTTTCCATTAAGATTCATCTTCAATTAACTTTGCACACAGAAGACCAACTTTATGCTAAGTAAAGATTTCAGCAATTTACACACACACATACACACACAAAACTGCGAACAATAATGTTAACATTTTATATTTTCAGAGTTGTATTCATTTTTTCTAAAAAAATATTTTTATTTTACTTGAAAGGCAAAAGGACAGAGAAGTAGATGGAGAGAGATCTTTTAAGTGCTTATTCACTCCCCAAATGCTGGCAACAGCCAGGCTGGGCAGGTTGAAACCAGGAGTCTGAACTCCATCTGGGTCTCCCACTTGGGAAGCAGGAATCCACGTATCTGAGCCATCATCTGCTACCTCCCATGTTGTGCAGTAGCAGGAAGCTGTGTCAGAAGCAGAGTGGTCAGGACTTGAACCAGTGCATTTCAGAGGCAACTTAACTACTGTGCTAAACTCCTGTTCTTACATTGATTTTTTTTTTTTTTTAGTGACTGAACATAGTCATTTAGACTTGAGATTGAGTAATGCATTAGAATGTGGCTCTAAATAGAACAAACTTCAACTTTGTTCTAATATTTTGTAGCTACAAATATTAGACAATGCCAGCAAGTTATTTCTCTATGAAAATGAGGTGCCATCTCTCTTATAGAACCCTTATGGGGATTACACAAATATGGAATCATTTTGTAATATTTTGATTCACAGTAGATGCTAATGTTCATTTCTTCATCTCCTTTTCCATTGTTTTAGCTACCTTCTGTCCTTTTTTTCTCTTTGCTTTCTTGAATAGTGTCACTCTTTGCCAGTTCCTACTCTTGTGTCTGTCCCCAGCTGGACTACCTAGCTAACTCTCCAGTTTCAGGACTTTGTGATGCTGAGGAAGGAGAATGCTTTTGCCCGTGGTATTGCCCAACTTCTTGCTGATTTAACCTGAAATCCGTAATATTCATCAACCTGAGTTTCAGGTACAAAATGTTTCTGCATCACTAACGAGGGCACTGAGAAATTATAAGGAAAAACAAACTAAAGATTGAAAATGTGTGTTTATAGGGGATAACTTGACAGGGATATAAGCTCTGAAAGATAACTAAGGCCCCAGACACTCGAA